CAGTCCAGGATCCAGATTGTTATGGCAGTTTGTCCTCCATCTCCTCCTTCCCCTTTCTTTTTTTTGTTTTGGCGTCCTCTGAGGTTCTTTTGTCTCCAGCCGACTTTCAAATGTCTATTTATTTGCCGTGGTTTAATTGTGTCGTCGGCAAGATCTGTCTGAAATCGCTCAGTTTGCACATTTTGCATCACAATGGGAGCCATTGACCGGCCCGCTCATCCTGCTGTCCAGTGCCAGGTCGTCTCTTCACAGAGGGGTGTTTCATCTTTTTATGCACGTCTGCATTGTATTTAAAAAATCCATAAATTAACCTTTGATGAATTATTGTGCCCACACTGGCACAAACATGTCCACATGCTTGACTGGACATAGCCTGTTACGGGCATGATGTCATGGCAGCGGAGGGGGATTTTTTGGAGCTGCCTCTTGTTTACATCCAATTAACAGCAGCCTTTGAAGTGTCTTCGGCTGGCTTTGAAAAGATTTAACAATGGCGCTGAATTATGTCACTCAAGTGTTTGTTTATGGGCATCCCCTAAAGATTTTATGTAATTTGTTACACAAATCATGTTATATCTTCAGAGAGCAGGGGCTTTTTGGTGGAATATTTTCTGTTCGTGGAATATCACACTCTTTTAATAGGACATGATGGTGATGATGTTACAGCGTTAACCATCTGAGGAAATTTAATTTGATATTCAAATCACTTACAGCACAACTTGCAAAACATTGGGTATGCTGTCTCCCTCGTGTGTATCTCTAGCATTTAATTTCCCTCTCGTCGTCTCACACACACGCACACACACACACGTTTATGCATCCGTCATCCTCAAACATCCTCAAGGTAACTCGTCTCATCTTCAGCCAGGCAGAATGGCAAGTGGGAGTGGAGATGAGATGCGAGGGACGATGAAAAATAGATGTCCACACAAACAACCACGTAACATGTCTTCAAATAAGATGAAGTTAAGTCTTTAACCATATTAACATTATTACAGGACCACTGGTAAAAGTACTCTGGGGTCCTTGTGATATCACAGGCTAATAAAAAAAACAAGTCTTATGACAAAAAAAAAACTCAGCTCAAGATCCATTTACAGGCTTTCAAGTAATTAATACACACAAAAACTTTAGACTCTCCTGAGACAGGTTAGTTTCACCCTGTTGATAATCTGTTGTTGCTATGGTAACCCTGCTTTCAGCTGAACAGTTTCCATCGGATAGAGACAGAGAGCACTGGAAAAAGGTTTTTTTGTGTGTTTATCGATTTACAGTTTCTAAGATCAAGAACAGAACTTCAGCTAAAACAGTAATAACTTAAGTCAAACTTTACACTGAAATCAATTTATAAAATATGCAGGGCCTCTGTTCACTTTTTTTTCATATCATAATTAATTTTAGTCTAAAAAATTACATATAAATTACATTTAAAAATACATAAAATACATTTCTCTCCATCACACTCCCACTGCTTCCTCTAATCAGCTGACTATGGGTGTCTGCTCTTCTAGTTATCCAATCAAATGTCGCCATGATCTCTCTCAGCCAATCAGGATGCTACTGCAAAATTTTAAATCTGCTATCTCGTCTGCTGCTGCCAGCTGTCATTGTAGGCAGAATTGTTGCACCCTTCTCCACCCTGTTCACCTCCAGCCACCATATCCAGAGTCAAGGATGAGCTCAACAAAGGCTCATTCCTCTCCTCATCCAGATCATCAGCACTTCTCCATCTTCTCCACATCTTCTTCTCATCTCATCTTCACCACCTCTACCACCACCAACTGTTCGTCTATGGATTCATCACCCTCCTTAAATCATACCGTCTCTACAGGATGTAATCACCAAAGATTTTTCACATTTTTCATTCTTACGTGCACATGTTATTAAATATTCTTTTACAATAAAAACGAGTCTCTCCTGATTGAAATACAACCAAGATCTTCCTCCAGTGCAGATTTGATATGGTTTGATGAAACAATAGTCATAATAGAAAACAAGGACGCAAATTTTGAGATGAGATGTTTAGAGCCAGGATGTGAAAAGTTTTAAGATTATTTTTAACAAAATGTCTGACTTGGAAATAACGGGGGAAAAAATGGGTTTAGGAAGAAGGCCTCCGTTCACTTAAGAGTTGATGTGAGCACACCAGAGAAGGTTAATGCCACAGGTTATTTGTAAGCGACTTACATCCATTTGTTTACCTATACTCACTTCCTCAGAGCTTTAACGTTTTCTCCACTGGGTCCTCTGAGGACACAAACTCTGACACACATTCACTTTGAAGTAAGTAAAGGAAGAATTTGAAAGCTAAAGCACCAAACCACAAGCTGCTAAAGAAACAGCCATGGAGTGATGTCTCATTTCAAAGTGGAGGTGGATTGTTTAAACACCACACCTCAGTAGTTAAGACGTCACAAGCATCCTCAGACTCTGAGCCTGCAGGCAGCCGCCTCCCTCAACCTGAGTGTGGGTACATACATTCCTCTGTGTTTCTCCTCCCCGCTGCCAGCCTGCACAAATGTGCCAACCACACTTGTTCCCATCCAACGCCCAGTCTGGACTGCACCGGTTTCTCATGTACACATAGCCACCGCAGAATGAGAGGTATGGAGGAGCATCACCTGACTGGCGCTCAGCACATTCTTTAAGGTCTGAAGGTTATAATGTGTGCGCACATCTTCATGTGAGCAGCAGTGGAAAGTAACTAAGTACATTTACTCAAGTATTTTACTGAAGTGCAATTTTAGTGTTAATAGTAATTCTACTCCACTACAATTCAGATACTTTTTACTCCACTACATTTATTTCAAACTTGACCAATTTCTCTTGGGATAAATATGAAGTTCCATCTTATCTTATCATATTGTATTTCATCACATATTTAGTTCCTAGTTACTTCATAGATTCAGATTAATACAAAATGCAATCAACAAAAAAATATGATGTAATATTATAGATTAAGATAAAAACTTAATTGTTACCTTGGGAAGACTCTTCAATATTGAAGTGATATGAACGTTAATGCATCAATAATTCCTTCTTTTTTTTTTGATAATTATCTTAAAATGATGCTTTCCACCAGAATACCGAATAGAATTCTATCAAAAGTCGATAGACACCAGGTGCCTTTTTTTGGAAGGTAGCTATCTTAACTTCTGATACTGTTATTTCCTTTTTTAGGTCTTCTTTTTGTTCAGTGAATAAATATTTAAACTTAACCGACTTCAGAAGGTGCATTGGAACAAAATTCTTAAAAAGTTATGTCAGATTTATACACATTTTCGTTGTATGCTGAAAACTCCTGAGTAATAACATCATTACTTGTAATATGAGTGTTGGAAACAGTGTCTTTCAGTACTACATAGTGTATTTTTATCACTCTTTTAACTAAGGAGCTAATTTTTTTCGCTGTTTCATTTGCTGAAATATACAAAATTTTATTTGAATTATACTTAATATCTTGGACTTTGAGTAGAAGGTTATCATATTCTAATTTTAATGCTTGCAGTCTTTCAAAGTTGTCCTAAGCTTTGATTTGTTTATGAATATACTGGAGATGATTCAGTGATTTTTCTACTCTGTCAATCTCTTTATCTAATTCTTGCTTCTTTTTGACTGAAAATGACTCTTATGTAGGGCTTACATATGTCATGTATAATAGCTATTGGTGGTCTATTGCTAAGAGTTGTAGTTCTGATATTTGTGCTTATAAATATCTTAATATGATTTTTATATTTTTAAGAAATTCTATCAGTTAGATAATTTTGATTCATTTTCCAGATTTGATAGGAAAGTTTATTTATTACTGGAGCATGATGTGGTATCACTTTATCAGAAATTTTAGTTGATATTGCATCACCTAGACCGTTACCTGATATGAAAATATAATCTATTCGGCTATATGATTTCTTGGCATGTAAATAGTAAGTGTAGTCTGTACCTTTAGGGTGCATCACTCTCCATATATCTTGGAGATCATTTGTTGAAAGAATTTCTAGTAGTCGTGTTGGTGGCTGTATTTTCCTATTCTTACACAAACTCAAATATCGTGTAAAGAATATACACATATATCTTTAGTTTGGGCTAACGATATTATCTAAATCTAACATCAGTTTCATCAGTTAGGACTTAATGTTGCAGTCCCTGGAGTTTCAGCATGCTTCATGCAAGAGCATAGGTGTTACGGCCGTGACCACCCAGCAGAAGCACACCTGACACATCATCAGCTGTGAACCTCAATATCATCGGGTGTTTTGGCCTTTATCACAAGACACCCTCCGTTGAGGGAGGGTCAAGTAATTACTGGATTTTATTTAGGAATTCAAACTCAGACGATGGTGAAGGGGAAACATAAATATTAGGTAGTGTATGTCTGTATCCAAAAATGTCACATCTTACGATCAAGAATCTAACCTGAGTCGGAATATTGTGAAATAAAATTAAAGGGAATATTCTTACTATTCTAAATGCATCAATAATTCCAAAACAAATAATATATATTACTGTGAATTGGGCCAATCCGAATCATAAAGTCCTACTTTAAGTATATTTTGATGCTAATACTTTCTGACTTTTACTTGGCTAAACATTTGAATGCATGACCTTTACTTGTAACGAGTATTACTACATGACAGTATTCCTACTTGTACTTAAGATCTGAATATTTCTTCCCACCTCCGCGTGAATACCAGAGCAGCAGAGGCTTGCACTTCACATACCACATCATCAGAATGTGTGATATCACCCCAACAAGGGGGGAATTATAACAGAGACAGAGCATGGACTGTTCATCTCACTGGGTCTTAAGTGCACACACAGACAGCAGAAAGGAGACGGGTGTTCCTGGTAAATACCAAACCCACAGTTAACCTGCGTTTGGAAACTATTCCAGGCTTGTTAAGAGTACCTGCGAGATTATACGGCTGCCCACACTGTTTTAATGACGCAGCTGCTGAATTCCAGTCATTCCCTGGAAAACAAAGAGGACAAACAACAGAAAGTATGTTTTCAACAAGATATTTATTGACGAGTTATGAACTGTAGAACATGAAGTAACAGATGGTGTGTCAGTAATAGCTTAATATATCAGCATATTTGATGATATATTGGAAAACTTGCACACACAGAGCCAATGACGACTGTTCAAAGAGAAACGACTTGCTACAAAAACGCTTTGATTATTCACACTACCCGACCTGGGTTAAGACAAAGATACAAAATTAAGACCATTATGAGATTTCTTTGTACAAAATGTGCAAATCAAAGGCTTCTACAAATTCATTACAAAGCAATATACAAACTATACACACGAATGACTTCCATTAAAGATCCTGAAATATGACATGAAAAAATAATATCATAGCTACAAAGTATTTCTTAACTACTTTGGACACACTTAGCTTTTGTTATTTAAATCCAGAATGACATGAAGGTTAGCTATTCAGGTTTTGGCAACATTTTAAATATGACCACAGCTATGAAGCGTAATCATACATTTACACCTGGCAAAAAGAACACAATGTAAGAATGTCTTCTAAAATAAGAGAGTTCTGTAAAACGGTTTGTCACAAAAAAGTACATTCACAACAAACAGAAAACAAAGATGTTACCCTTCCTTGAACAAATGCAAGCAATACTATACATAACCCTGAGACACACACAAAAAAAGTTTGAAAATAACATCTTGAAAGCGAAAAGTATCTTCTTCAGCCGTAACGGCCCACATTCTCTCTTGCGAGTGTGTATTTTTAAGTTGAGGAGGAAGATACAGATTTAGCTTACCAAAATTAAGGGAAGCCCAAGTACAAAGCCTAAAAATACAGACAGGAAGATTGTTTCTGTGCACAAAATCATACACTTCCCCATATGTCTTCTCTCCTTCCCCGTACGCCTGGCATAGCAAAGGTCTAATTCAGTCTATCAGCAGTCCAAATAAATTACACCTGAGTAAACGCCCAGTGTCAGGAGGGGAGAGAACCACAACAAAAGGACCGGCCGACGCTCTTTTTTAGCTCACTGTACAACAACATGTCAGCGAGAGACACTAATAAGTCCTTACAGAGTGAGTTCAGCTTGTAATCTACTGGCGAGATGATACAAATGTTTGACGATGGTGTGAGTCAGCTGAGTAGTGCAGGGCCGATACAGAAAAGTCTGCACACATCTGTGCTATCGGCCTGCTTCCTGACTGTGCTTTGCTTTGTTATATAAAGACTGAAGTTCCTGCAGTATACATGGCAACGAGTCCAGCTCAGGCTAGTGGCTACATGGGAAAGTTACACAAGAAGTATGAGTAAACAGATCAGCTCGCAGACTTCCAGTCTCTGGGCTGTCTCCAGGACTCGGGCCTTCTCTGCAGCTGAAGATAATGTGAATCAGGCTGGATGGAGCCACAGCAGGAATACAGAAACTCTTCCTCCTCCTCCTCCTCCTCCTCCTCCTCCTCCTCTGAAGAGACACATGCCTGCATACCAGACACCACGGCTGATCTGGGGAAAGAGACAAGAGGGAGATTAATGTTTAGGTCCTGTGAACTGTGCTGTATGAGGAGCGACCACATGACCAGTGGGGCGGCCTGGACATTCTCAGGGAGCTGAGAGGAATGCGGAGACTTTGGTCCTCCGGGGCTACACATCAGATTATCACCATGCCATTTTATCAGGCTTACCCACATAGCGTTAATAATGCCTCAGGATGGGGCGTTATTTAACCAAAGTCCTCCTGGCATGTGGGATTAAGCTGCTCGAGCCATTTATGTCGCGAGGTAATAAATATCTGAGGGTGGCAGTGGAAGGGACCCCACACTGGACTACACACAAACACCAAAACCATCTGCTCATCTGCGTTATCCGGATATAATTCATACTGTAAGAGGCTTTCTTATGGTTACATTTTTAAATTCCTGAATGTGTGAATATTTATATATACTCAATATTTACTCCAAACAATCTCTCATCTCCGCCTTTCTCTGCAACCTGAGACGCTTCAGTATCTAATTTTCCTCCCCTGCTGTTATGAAGGAATGTTCCACTGGATATTTGGGGGTGTTGGAGAGAAACATTAACCTCTGATTTGCATATTTTTGATGATAACTCATGTCTGCCGGAGCAGATGATGGATGTGTGTGCTCTCTGTTCCAAGGGAGAGAGAGCTGACAGTTACAGGCGGGCTCTGCTGGGGGCTTGTTTGGATAACTTAATGAGTTCTCATTTCCATGGCTGACAAAGCCGGCTGATACTACTGAAGCCCCAACTGATCCATACGCATCTGTTACTGTTGTGAATACATGGCCTGAAGCATAACAGTGGGACACAGCCAGAGCTCTGCTCTACTGGAGCCACAACACAGAGACAGAAATAGGTTACAAACAAGCTTCAGAGGAAGAAGCAGCAGGATCTGCTCATAGATTTAAACTTTCTGGAAGAATTTCTCTGCCAGGTTACATTTCAAACTACAGTATTTGTAATAGCCATGGATGATAAAACAGATGTACTACACAACAAAAATGCAAAAATGTTGCCCATTTCCTGATCAGCTGAACAGCCCCAAGGCACAAACCAACTGTTTGGTACCAAGACCAAAATAATACTTTGAGTAATTAACATTTTCTGCATTTTTTAAAGAAATAATTGGCTGTTTTTGCTTTTTTGCTGAGAGTTAGAACATTGCGACCATTCCCATACTTCTCAGTTAAGTATGACCTCACAGCCAGCTAGCCTGGCTCTGACCATCACCTCTAACACCTTGTTTCCACTTATGAGTGGTGTCCATAGATCCGTAATTATGCAGATGACGCCTCTAGTGTCCAATGCAAGGAAGTGCATTTCTTTACAGGTGGGTAAAAACCTGATAGAAACTACCTGTAGCAATGGGGGAGAAGCGTACATTTTTTCCATTTTTCGCCATCCAGTAGTTTGGAATATGCACCTGGAAGATTACCGGGCATGTTTTTTGAAATATTCATTAAAAGGTCATATGAAAGGGTTAATGTTAGCTAACCTATTTTTAGCTAATCATGCCTCCTAACTTTTTACTTAGATGAATAAATACAGTTTTATTGCTCATAAATCAGTTGTTTTAACAGGTCCTTACTGACTATTTCATATCAGACTGATAAATCTGACTGTATCTCATATCAAACTGATAATAACAATCTGACTGTATATAATGTATAACCATATTTTAACAGAATAACATTAATGAGATACACAATATGTTAAAACTAGATAAACAAATTATTTTTAATCACACAAACTTATTTAACAATCAACAGGGAACTGAACTTAAGGAAACAGCCTGTTAGCTAAGCTAGCACACAGTTATACGGTGTCTCCGAAATCCATTGCAAAAGTTTAGTTTTTTGAACGTACTTGAGGAAAAGTCCAGACCAAGATATTACAGAGGGGAAGCGTTTCGCAGGCACATCGGATATCAAAGAAACAAGGCGTAAGGCTACCAAATCAACACGTTGTATTGATCCTTTGTTTAATCCTTGTAGCAACTCAAGTGTAAAAATGACAAGCTGTTGTTTTAAGGCGGGGTTACGGCATTGCTCAGTGGCTTCGAGGTGTCTTACAAGGAAAATATAAAAGAAGGAATGGTCATGACGACAGTGACAGTATTCGAGGAGCCAGACTTTGATGTTAGTTCGATTGGAGTCAATGAGGCAGGCACTGCAATTCTCATTTTAACCCATCATATCTTTGTTGTTTCAACTTTGACTGAGAAATCCTTCCACCAGAGTAAAGAAGACACAGTTCATGATGTGTACTGATGTCAGAATGACCCTTAAAGGACTTAAAACGGAAGGGTTACTATAAGTTGAAGGAATGTTCTATTACTGTGATGGAAACCATTTTGTTAATGATAGTATGCGTGAAAATGGTCCTGTCAGATAATAACTAAAATAAAGAGGAGATTCTACATCCAGTAGCATTTTTTCCCCAATATCGTAGATAAGAAAATGTACGTGGTGTGATAACTGTTGACTTTTAAAACATGGTGTATCACTGCAACCCTACTGTGCACGTTTGTTCTCCTTGTTACTGGCCTAAAAACAGATCATGGCTCTGATGCAGCTGATACTATGTGTTGCATACACATTTCAGTTAGTGCCAAAAAGTATTCAAGCTCGATGCCCAGCCCTGAAACCAACAAGTAACAGCATATTTCCTGCAACATAAACTCAGCTCAGCCTTCCTGATCAAAGTAAAGCAGCAGTAGCAGCTCTTATTCTATCACATGCGACTGCAGGCCTAATGGAAGTTTCCATCGCTGCTCTCTCTGTGTACATGCACACGGGTCACTGCGTGCACTTCTTCAGTTCTGCTGCTGCTGCTGCTATAATCTCTCTCAAGTGTGGATGATGAAGAGCATGCCTCTGAATCTTAAATACTCTGCCGCTCTGTTCCAACTACCACAATATCACTGTTTCATAAGAGTTGCAGCTTTATATTTAGTCCTCTATCTCGATCTGCTGCAAAGACGGCAGGCTTTCACATGCTGAGTTCATGTTGATACCAGCATGATCTCTCCACCATGGCAAACCATGACAAGAAGGTGCACATTGTATTCAAGTAAATCACGTGGATCAAAACCACTTTATCCTGAGCTTTAAATAAATAAATAAAAAACACTAACAGCCCATGTATTGTGTTCCAGAGACACACACTGTCACCGACAAAGGTTACGTGTCTGTCATCATCAGTGCATCCATCAAAAACCACCATCGTCCACTCGTATCAGCAAACTCCGGCTCTCTGAGCCACAACAAGGGTCCCGCTGTCACCAGAAATGCACTCCAGACGGCCTCACAGTCCCGTCATTATTACCTGTCATGTCAAGGTCAATTATACTCAACTCTGAGCTGCAGGAGCCGCACTCTTCTCTGCTCATCCGAAAAACACAGTTTATATGGAAATACTCGCATTCAAACTTTGTTTTCAAACTCTTTACACATTAGACTTCCTCCCGTCAACAGGGAGTGAGGTGTCTGGGGTGCCAACAGGTGGCGGGGTTAATAACTGTAACCCAGAAAGTACCCAGATGCCCCGCCTGTGTCTTCAGTCTGGTCCACTGCAGCAACCACAGTGTGATGCTGCGAGGGAAGGAGGGAGTCCACGTGTCCTTCAGCAGACCAAACAGATGGGCTGGGACTATATGAAGTGATTGGATCTGGCACTCTGAGGTTTAACCTGACTCAGTGTGTCTGCTCCCATCACTTATCTTTCCCCTCCACATGGGAATAATGCCAGATTGAGTTTGACAAAAGGAAATGATGACCAATGATCAAATCTGTCTGTGAGTCAAAAATGACCCACTGTCTGGCTGAAAGCACACACACACACCACAAGACTAGGTCACATTTATCAAACGAACGACACCTGCATTATGACATCATTTCCATTTTTTTTTATCTTTATGCACCTTGGACTCCATCTGCATCTTGCAGAAGCCCAATTACCCACAATGCACCACACCAGAGCTGAGTCCTCTTTCTTTATCTGTCCCTTGTGTCCAACAAGGCCTGTGCCATGTTTACTAATGACCACAAAGAATTGCACTGTATTGACTAACGCATGAATCAGTCACTTCATTTACATTACTTTGCATTGTTGTTTCCAGGGGCGGATAAAGGACTCGAGGATCTTAGCGCAGCTGCAAAGTGAGTCTTGATGAATCCTCGCAGGAACTCCTGTTAAAGACTCAGAACAAAGAGCGTCTCTATGATTGAATGCGCACCACTTCGGCACTACTTCAGAGACGCAAATATTACGTAATTCAGATTAATTACCAGGCAGACACACTCTGTGCCATCCCAGCTGGCTTACCGACGAGGCCCCTGTAACTGTATGACAGCTCGCCTCTTTTTAAAGGCGTAATCAAATTAGTCTGGGTGATTATTCAGCCATTTTAAGCATCTTTTTACCCTTTTCCTTTTTGTTACTCGCAGCATGGCGAAAAGACCAATAAAAACTCCATTAGGTTTATGCAAATTTAAGCAGCCGTGCCGAGGGCTGTAATGTGGCAGATTGATTACTCAAGGGACTGAAGACGAAGTGTGTGTGCACGTGCTAACTCTGACTGTGCATGTGTGTGTCTCGGAGAAGAGACGGGGAGGTGGTGGAGGTGGTGGTGGTGGTGGTGGTGGTGGTGTTGGGGGGGATCGTTGTTGTACACAGATGCCACAATAAAAGCCTCATTCAGCTTGTGTTCCTGGTGGCCCTCACAGCGAGGCATTAATAAAACATTAGTATTGAGTGACTGGGGCCTCTGCACTCCTCCTCCCTGATCCCACTGTGACCTTTCCATTTTACAGCAGCTGTCTGGGGAAGCAGAGAGCCTGCCGAGGACTCCCTCCGTGGCCCCTGACCTCTCCAGGTGTACTCTATCACACAGAGCCGTGCCCACCTCATAAGGGCTTCGGTTGAAGCTATTAAAAAAAGCTGAATAGTGCTTATGTGTGTGATTTTTTAAAAGCGGAGAGGGGTGATGAGGAGGGAGGGATGGTGAAGGAAAAGGGAGGAAGGGGGGGCTGAGAAAACAAAGGCTCAAGCGTGGATAACAGTCATCTCCGAGGCCGTTACACTCCAGTGGTTTAAAGGAGAGGTTGTCCTGAACTTTGTGCAGGGATCTCCGGTTACATCCTGTCTGCCTGCAGTCTGGTACCAACAACTGACCAGATTACACCATCATGGCGCTCTGCTTGCCATCTCCAAAACACACACTGACCTCATTAATTAAAGCCTACCTGGTGACTGTTGAGATTGTAAAGGCAGTAGTCACAATATGACAATAAAACTGTATTTATGTCTGCACGTTTTTAGCCTAAAATGTTATTTACTTCTCCCGCCTGGCCCGTAACAAACACAAACCATAGTGCTTTGACGTTTACAAATACTTTTCCATCAACAGCGGGTTCTGGCTTGGCTCTGGAGTCTGTGGTCGGTCACATCTGGTGGAAATGCATGGGCCCACAAACTACAGTAGGTGGTGACAAAAAGGCTGGTAATCCCATACGGGCCGCGCAAACTGAAGGGCCCGAGCCACAAGGCAACATTAACAAATCTTTGCTAATGGGAATGCAGGCCACACCTTCATTCCTCCCAAATTAGAGTAAGGATGGCTGGCTTTTTAAAGGACAGGCAATGCCAGCAATGTGACTCTGTGTGTGTGTGTGTGTGTGTGTGTGTGTGTGAGACAGAGTAGTACAAGTGGAAAACGAGTGGTTTCACAACTGCGTAAAAACTCACAATACTACTAGTGAATACTTGAACAGCTGACTGGTGGTTTTCAGTCCCATCGTAAACATAAAAAGGAACACACACAGACACTCACTTGCGCACGCACACACACACACACACACACGCGTGCACACGCACACACAATTATTTTTCTCTCTGACCCCAGCTGAAAGTTGACAACCTCGGGAGCAAAGTATTTTTAGGCAGGCGTTAGTCTCGGCTGCCAAATGGTGCAAAATATAGCTTTGCGTCTCCTGGTCTTACTCCCTCTCCACTTCACCTCCCTCTCTCCATATGTGTGTGTGTTTGTGTCCCGCTCCGTGTCACTTTGTTGCTCCCTGAATTCCTGCCACTTCTCCTCTCCTCTGAACCCTTCCCCCGTGTCTGGGGTGAGACAGAGTCACCCAGCGTCAGGGTAGGATGCCTGCTTAACAAGCTGGAAATTGGAGCTTTTTTTCCATGTCTGCTGTAATTAAACAGAGAGGCAGGCAGGCAGCAGCAGGGATGGAAGCTACTGTAACTGCGCGAGTTCATAAGGATGCGGTGCCTTGATCTTTCATAGCCAGCCTGTCTGTCTCCATCCTGGCCAAAAAAACCAGAGCTAGCGGTCCATACCAGCAGCCTCATAATGCTAAGCCCCCAGCTCCATCATATCCAGCTGTTTACTGTAGACACAAGTCACACATAAGCTCCCTGCTTCTCACTTGCTTCCGTTCAGCTTTCCTTTCAAAGTTCTTGGCAGCATAAAAGCAGCTTGTTCGGAGTCACTTTCCCATATGCCTGACAGAGAGGGCAGTTGTTTGGCATTTACGTAAGTGCTTCAGTATTTTTAGTTTTTAACATCAGTGACACTGATGGAATTTCTTTCTTGGCAACAACTAGAGAAACTTTAATTTTCAACTGTTAAGGGGGCATTAAAATAAGTGCAAACTTTACAGTGATCTCTTTTAAGTCCCTTCTTAAAATATACTTTTAACGGAGAGACTTTCCTGATTTTACTTGAGTTTTAAGTTCAATTATACTGTCTTTTATTTCCTCAATTTTTATATACGCAAATGTTTTTATCAGTTATTTTAAAGTTGTTGTTTTCATGTCTGTTTTAATTATTGACATGTAAAGAACTTTGTAACTCTGTTTTGAAAAGCTCTTTATAAATAAAGATCATTATTATTATCATATCAGAGGTTGTGTTAATGAGTTGCATCTAGTCTGATCTTCAGCCAAAGTTCTTGAAAAACAAAGATTTGGTTAATCAAATTTAGTTTTTCCACTCTAGCTTGAAGCAATACTTTGACAGTTTTGGAAATAAGTAAAAAGAAATTTCTGACAGATGAGAAGATGAGAGCAAATATGAAGCTGGGGCCTGCAGATGTTTAGCTTAGCATAGCTCAACTTAGCAAAACAACTAGACTGGTGGACTTTGTAACCTCTGGAAAGCGCCTGGTTCCAGTCTGTGTGCTAAGCTACGCTAACTGCCTGTGGCCTTGTATTGAACAGACAAACACGAGATGCGGTTTTAATCTTCTCATCTAACTCCTGGCAAAAATATGAATAAATGTAAACATTGCGTAAGTGTACTTTTGCTTTAACTGCGGGCATCTGTTTTACTTGATGACAGACTGGCGCTTTATGGCCAACTGGCTGCATTAAATCACTGAATCTATAGCGCAAAATAAAAAATTAGGACAGACATGTGCTTTGTGAGAGTTCAGCGAATGCAGTCAGCATAATAAACCTCCCAATAAAGATAAAACCTCCAAACCGTACAATAAAAAGATGCAGGGGAGTCTGGGCTTTTTAAAAAGCAAACCCAATGACTACTGCAGCGATGAATGGTTTTCCATTGATTGCATCAGTGCTAAAAAGGGATCACAAGACGGGCCGTCACGTCATGAAACTTAAAACTAGCTCCACCACCACTGGGCACATGTGAAAACAACTAGCAAATCCATCAAAACAACAGAGCATCCTCTTCTCGTTTCACCCACTAAACCCTCCGTCCTCGTCCCGTGTGACAAAACTGACAACACCCCAGGAAAAATGTATCATCTCTTATCTCATATGAAGCTGCGAAAACTGCCACCTGTCCTTCCTTCAGGCGGATTAGGCCGAGCAATTCTTCACTGATATGGTATGTTACATCTTAGTCCATCATATTTTCGTACCCTTGAGATGTATCCGTCCTTTTTCCCCCCGTTACCGCCCCTCTTGAATTCCTGATAAGATTACTGATCTGACTTTATTTACTTTGAGCAGAGCAGACTGCCCTGGCGTCTGTCTGCACATATGGTACTTTCACTTTGTCCTTTAAAGCACTTTGAGGAAGGTGATGTAAGGAAAAGTGGGATTTGCATTATGAAAAGTATGATAAGGGTATGGTGGAAAACAGATTTTTAAGTCATGCAAGACTTTAGGTTGTGTAACCCACCTACAGGACCTGAAGAAGGAATGTTCCAGCTCTTATCTGAAGCTTACCGAAGGCTCCTTGTGCACTTCTGACTCCAAGCCCTCCATATGTTTAACACTATGTGTCATATCACCTTTTATAACTTACAACTGTTTTGAGGTACTGACTCATGCTAGGCAGCCAGTTAGCACCCGGCTCACTACAAGCGCAGACCTGATCCTGCCTCTCCACCTCGCTCCTGTCAGTGACAGAGGTCTTGTGTTGCAGCTCTCGCTCTGTAATTACCAGCACTGCTGACATTCCTCCTGCTCTCTAAACCAGGACTCCGCCGTGTTTATCCAACACCCAGCAGTCGCAGGAGCTAGATAATGTGTAACTGTAACCACTGGCAACCCTCAAAACAGTCAGGGGCTTTTAAACTGGCCCCGTCCGGTTCAAACTGACATTCACCTCTGTTGGGCAACTATGTCGGGTGAGATATGTGAAGATATTTTGGTTTCCATAAAGCGAGTTCCCATATATTATGTGACAATACAAGGAACATTATGAATAGCACATATAACTGTCATTTTGTTTGTTTGTGTCAGTTTAAGGAAGCTACAATTACTCACCGTAGAAACCTCAAAGAGTCAGTGCGTCTCTCGCTCTCTACGCCGAGAGGTACTTCCATGTGCTGACGAAGGCAGTGGGAATGAGTGAGTAGGGCACACTGGTCACACTGTCCCAAGAGTCCGATGATGGATCGTAACAGTCTAGCGTCTTACACCTCTGAGCCCCGAAGTACCCTCCGACCACATATAGTCTGTTTCCTGACGCCACTGCATGGCAGCTGATGCGTTTGGCCGTCACGTCACCAAACTTTGACCACTGGTACGTCTCGCTGTTGAACCGGTAAGCAGAGCTGGCTGAGAACTCAGTGTCGCCTCCGATCACCACGACATGGTTGCCGACCACAGCTGCTGCAGTGTAGCGCCACAGCTGCGGACAGGCGGCCGGCACAGACCACCGGTTCTGACACGGGTCGAAGCACTGCACCTTGGGGTATTTGTCTCTGTTTACACTGGTGCCCCCGAAAGCAAAGAGTTTGTTTTTGGCACCGACGACGGCGGCGTTGCTCACGCCCTCTCTGAGCGGAGCCACCAGGGTCCATTTATTGGTCTGAGGGTCGTACTGTTCCACCTGTTTGAGAGACACAGACGGAGATGCAGGGAATGATCCTGCGAGAGAAGTGTGTCCTCCCACAACGTAGAGCATGTGGTCGAGCTCTGCAGACCCGTGTCCGAATCTGGCGACCAGCATAGGTGACGCTTTGGACCACTCGTCATGTAACGTGTCGTAGACCCAGACATCTTTGGAGGCCCCGTTTTCAGAGCCACGTCCTCCAGTAACATAAACCTGAGACACATGGAGAGAAGTCATATTTTGTGTACATCTACATAATGTTACACACACATATATATACATATATATATATATATATATATACATATATATATATATATATATATATATATATATATATATATATATATATACACATACATACATACATACATATATATATATATATATATATATTCATGTATAGACCATATACATACCTTGCAACCAATAGCACAGGCGCTGCACTCCTTCCTGGGGCTGGGGATGTCTGTTTTGGGGGTGATCTCTTTAGTCTTGTTGTCAATCATGTAGACTTTATCACACATGAAAGTCTGTCCTCCCAGCAGCAGCAGGGCCTGGCTAACCTTCCTCGGCCGTGCACAGAACCCTGTTACAATACCGTCATTCTGGAGGATCCTCATTTTGCACCGAACGGCATCTTCAACAATCTCCCGCCCCACTTTGTGGCACATCACCAGCTCCTCTGAAGCAACGTTCTTCAGCAGGTACGTTTCAGGGAGCAGCGCCAGGCGGACACATCGCAGCAGCTCGGGCAGCTCACTGTGCCTGTGCTCCATGTCGGCTTTGACCCAGTCGATTACAGCCTCGTACACCAGGCTCTCATCCTCCACCTCCAGCTCCTCGCTGAGGATCAGCTCCTGGACTTTGTCTCTGGGTAAGCTGAGGAAGTCCTCAGTCCTGAAGAGCGTGGCAAAGTTCGCCAGGCACATCCTCCACGACAGCTCGTACAGTCTCTGGCACTGGTGGGCGTCTGACAGCAGCATCATCCCCAGGCAGTTTGACTGGTGGAGGTTCTTTTCTAGAAACTCCGATGCCGCGTCCCTGATGTCGTGAAACTGGAGCATGTCGCCAGCTTCGAGAAGCGACTCAGCATTTTCCTCGTTGATGATGATTCGGGCAGAGTAGGCGTAATCAAGCAACAGCTCCAGCACCTCCGGATGGAGAGAGTCGTGGAAGTTGACTTCGGCGTCACGGCTCTCCCTGAGCCCGCCACTGAACATAGCCTCAAAGTATCGGCTACAGGAGGCCAGGACGGCCCGGTGGCAGGGGAAGGATCTGTTTCCGGCCTTCAGGATGACATCTGTGAAGACTTTTCGTTTGCGTAGCAGGTTGAGCTGAGTCAACAGGCTGTCGGCGTGGGACGTCTTGTGGAAGAGTTGGATATTCATGGAGCCAGAACTAGAGCGAGACTTTCTGTTTTCGTGGTTACTGACGGACATCTTGACTTGGACCTGAAAGAGGAAACAGAGCATAAAAAAAGATAAGCACAGGTGGATCAAGCCACTCCTTTATATTTGTTCAAATCAACTGTCTGTGACACTTGGAGAGGAGGAAGCGATGTTATCAGATCATGTGCCCTCCTTTTGATGTAAACGCTCCCATAAACACTCCCATTTTATGACTAAACAAAACTCACTATGCCAACAGCTGATGAATGGGCTGCTCAGGAATAAAATAATCATATCAGCACGTTGGGTTACAACGGAAATAAACTTCAGCCTTCAGAGATGAAAGGAGATCAGATAAGGAGCACTCCCACACTAAACGAATGTGTACACAGAGATTTACACCATAAAACACACATCAGTGTCTCAACTCTCAAAAGCTATGAAAACAAATGAGCAACATTAACTGCGTTTAAATCCAACCTTCTGTAATTCTTCTGTAATTACCGATAGGCAAAGACATAACACCTGGGTGTGTTGGCCTATATCACATCTTTCCATACCTATAAACATTTCAGGGCTGTGAGTCACCTTCACCCACAGCCTGAGCCAATCAATTCCTCCCAACTTGCTCCTCCGCTGGTTCACATGCAAGATGGTGCCAAAGCTTTCAAGCCCACATAAGATGTGACACCTCAGTCCAGCTCCTTGAGGATGAAATTATGTAACCACAGTGCAACAGATAAAACCCCCCAATCTGTCTTTTGATCATGCAGTAGATTTAGACAGGCCAGCAGCCTCTGCATTGGAGTAGAAGGGTGTTTATGTTGAATTTAAAATAATGTTGCATGCTGGTGGGGAGTTTTATTGCATTTCTTATGAGTATAATGATGTCATAGACAGTTTGTAATAATCATAGCATGGCACAGCAGGTTAATAAAGCCAGTCCACAACTTAAAAACGACCAAATAAATATCTTCCGCTTTAAAGCCTCCATTGTTTCATAGCAGATAAATTTAAGTCGGCTATTCAACCCCACTGAAAGGGGGTCTGTGGACTTCCGTGGGGGGACTCAGCGTGAAATCCAATTCGTTTTGTGCAGTAAATGTGAAACTACGGTCAGCACTTCAGCATGCGCTCAACTTTCCTCCAAAGTTAGCCTGCAAACATGCAGCCTGCTACAATGAGCCCACATCAAAGCCTCCTATGTTACACCCTGCGACTCAACTGCTCACATTTCGGAAGTTGGACAAACGTCAAAGCAGCACGTATCTCAGTGATCGATACTCCAGCAGGATTAGCCGTCTAATGCTTACCTTGATAGCCGCAGAGCTGATCCGGATTCCTTTATCTCGCCTCCAACTTGTTCCGTCGTTGATTTGTTTGAAGTTGTGGCAAAATTCAGACCGATCCGCTTCCCGTGTTTAAAACTGTATCACATCCCGCAGTGGTATGAAACGGTTGAGCCATCTGTCTGCGTCGGAAACCTCGAGTTTAAACGCGTGAACAAAACAATGGTGGAAAGTTAGTAGCTGTGGGTTTTGTTCTCGGAGAGCCACGCAGCCTGCAGGAGAGCAGCGAGCAGAGCGCAGAGGAAGAGCCGAGGCAGCCGTGGTGTTCACTGTGGCTCCTCCCACTCCTCCTCACACCGGCCAATGGGATCAGACTCTGCAGCACAGGCTTCCTTTATTCCTTATCCAAACTTCAGGGTCAATGCACAGCACTATGGTGGAATAGCACTGGCTTAGAGAATGCAAAAACACCTGTCTGTGTGTGCTTCACCTGCCTGCTGTGGTTCTCACTCAAAACTCTATTCTACCTCTAGTAGGTATCAAAGGCAGAGAGAGTTTATAAGGCACCTTTCACCAACATAAAGACAAGATATAAATGAAATACAAGGTTAAAAAAAAGAAAAAAAAAAGGATTTTAAAAGACTAGAATACCAGATAAATACATGACAGTGAAGGATATTAATAAGTAGGCCCAAATTTGAATAAAGGAAACATTCCTTAGCCGGATCTGCCATACTTTTTAAGCCCTGTTTCCACCGAGCAGTACGGTTCAGTTCGGTTCAGTTCATTGCAGTTTTTTTCCGTTTCCACTGTGAAAAGCTGTGGATGGTACCAATGGAACCGTTCCGTACCGTCCCCATTTTTGGTCACCCTTCTGTTGGGGTACCTAGCACACAGATCACAGTCCCTCTGCTCAGGGCTGAGTTGTGGCTGGTTTTGAGGCTCGTGTGTTTTATTAGACTGTAACTATAAAATGAAAATATGTTTTCTGCCTCTCGCAGCAGCTGGAGTCGGAGAAAAGATTTTAATTCACTGGGCCGACTGCCGGTGACTTTTAAGGTGGAACGTTAACTTATAATGTCACGACGTGAATCAATCAACACACTTTAAATATTCCATATGACAACTTTGACCAATACTATAGTTTTTTTTTACAACATACACTTTTAGTAATGAGTAGATCTTCAAGTGTTTATATATATTATTTTGACCAGATTATGTGGACAGCATATTCTAATCCTCATTCGGTGGAAAAACAAGTGTTGTGGAGCGTCGTTCCTGTGGGCTACGGCAACATTAAATCCCTGAGCTTGCCTGGAAAGGACAAAATGCACAAACCCGCTATTGTTAAGTACCCCAAGGAGACAGATTTTGTTCTGAAAATGTCGGCATGTAACCCCATTCTGTGGAAGATAAAAGAGGTGCAGACTTCCATCTGTGTCACCAGTAATGAGGAAATACAGTGAGTGTTGGATGGAGCAGTGAGTGACAAGAACCCCGCCCACATTTAAGAGTACAGTTTGTGGTGGAAACACTAGGGTCTAGGTACCATGTCTGAAGGGTTACTTTTGGTTCCAAAGGTACCATACCGAAAGTGTTTGGTGGAAACGAAGCTTTAAAGAACTGAGAATGGCAGCAGACTCTAATTTTAAATAGTTCAAATTGTATTTATTCAGTCGGCAGTTTAGCTATTTAGCTTTCTGTAAAATTGTCAGACATGATAACCTGAATGCCACCTCCACAGTGCCAGGAACTACATTTTGGGGGGGAAATACTGAAGCCTTCATTTCTTTTTTTTTTATTCTATTGGCCTTAAAGTAATCACATTCAAACATGCTGTAATTACTGCAATTGCACAAAATATCCACCAGCACTATGTAGAAGTATTTTAATAATGGAAACTCCCTCTGGTTGCTAAAAGAAAATGACCCCAGTGAACTGCAAAAAAAGTATTTTTATAGGATTTCCACACAAGTTTCCCCAGATATTGATATTGATAACACTTCTATCGTGTATATTTTACCAGATATTTAATACTCTATTGTTCTAAAACTGGGCCCAGTGAGTGACCCTGACCTGAGGAACACACTGGTTGTCTGGTTGTGAATCATTAAAATTGTGGTTATTGTAATTTGAAGCGTTCTCTGGCACAAGAATTTCCTTTTGGGAAATAAAGTTCTATTTAACTGAATGATATAATCAAGGATAGCTAATTGATCAGCATCTCCCCTCCAGTACCAGGCACAGCACAGCCCTTGCTGTGTTTGCCAGCTCCACATAACCAACAGTCTTAATGATCATATGATGGCAGGTTAAAGTCCCTCTGAGGACCAAGAGATCGTAGCTCCAGCTGAATTCCTGACATTTTCTGAAGGATTTAAGTGCTCGTGAGCTATCGGGACAAGAATCAGGTCAGGTCAGAATCAGCCAAGTCAGCCTGCACATGCAAGGAATTTCATGGGCTGCTTAAAACAAAGTATAAAAAGAGGCACAAATATTTCTAAGTAGACGTTTGGAAAAAAGGTCTCTCGCTCTGCTTTTTCTATGAAATGGAAAAAAGTAAGTAGCATTCAAGTTAAAACAAATAAATAAAAAGATGGCTGTAGAATTTCAAGAAATAGGCCTGCAGAACAAGTGCACAAGTGAAGTCTCTTCTCTGTGAAAGACTCTTTGTCTGGACACGTCCCAACATGTCTGCAGATGTAAATTAATGACATTAATAATGACTTCATTCCATTTAGGTGTGCCAGGCCCTTGGCCCTGCTATTGTGCATGCTGGCTCCCTGCCTCATGGGACACTTCAATGGCACAGAGCAAGGGTGCAGGTTGTTTTAACACCTAGAGTCCTCTGCCAGACAATTTTGGGCATCAGACACTTCATTTCAAGCATTGTGGTTTTTTGTGCACCAATTTGTTTGTACTCTTCATCATTTTGTGTTGCAAATGACTTTAATTGTGCAGGAATAGAAGTTTTTATTAGGGGAAAACAAACCCCCGAGTCCCTCACAAAGTTTAAACCTATAGGACAGGGTTTATGTTAACAGCTACACCTGTGCTTTCCATGCTTGATCAAGCCAAAATGTCTGCTGTGAAAAAGGCCTCGTGGAAATCAACAAATAAGAAAGAATGAAAGTCAGACATGGAAAACTGAATACCACAGACATACTTGAAACAGTTGATGGATCGGTGGTGGTTTTAATATTTGAGGTCTCATCTTTATTCAGACAACAGAGGCTCTGAGGACAGTTCCCCCCTCTCAAAACTGACTGACTGGTAGACTGTCCATGCACTGAGTTGACTGATCTCCAACACCAGGACTACAGTCATCGCCACTCTGCTCAGGTTTCCCCCCTCTCCCTCTGCCTCTCACTCCCTCTTACCGTCACTCAGCAGCTGCTTTTGAAGATTAAAAGCTGCTGCTGTGTCTCACTGTGTTTGTGTGTATGTGAGCGTGTGTGTTTTCCAGTCCAGTTTCCTTCTATCCACTATTATTTTCTCACAAGTGATTCAAACTTGACTGCAACTCATATCTGGAGTCACCATCGTCTTTTTTTTTAACACATGGAAGCCCTGGAGGAATCACCTCCAGTCTTGTTTAACCTCAACGTTTGACACCATAAACACACCCGTGGGTACTTCACATTCTCCTCATAACCATTGTTGCTGGAGCTTGTTGAAGCCTCCCTTTTAACTGACTGGGCCAAATGCTTTCATACACACAAGTGTGCCTGGAGGAGATTAAGAATTTAAGCAGATTAGATT